AAGTTGAAGCTCTTGCGGTGAGAGAAGCATGTCTGGTAGCAAGTGCAGCACAGTTAAAGTATTCAAGAATTGAGAGTGATAGCCAGACGGTTATTAAACTGTCCTCAGCTGAAGACGACCCCCTTTGGGAGATCAGTGCTCTAATGGCAGATATCAGGTTCTTTGCCAATCAACTTCATCTTTGTTTTGTAGACAAGCCAAGAGCCCTCAATAGGACTACTCATCGGGTGGCTTCAGCTGCCATCACCGATTCGCTTGCTGCGAACTGGGTCACCTGTCCCCCCCCCCCCCCCCCCCCAACGAGTTCAAGGCTTTCCTTTGTACTGACTGTAATCATCATTTTCCTATTTGAATGAAATTTCACTCTCTTTTGACCAATATATATATGGCAATTTTATCCTTTTTAATTTAAAAAAAAAATTATAAAATCAAGACAAAAATAGCTAATAAAATTCAAACCCTGGATTTCTATTCTCCAATAGTGTGTTTGGCAAAAGGGATAAAGTGGGATAAATCCAATTGGATTGGGTTTTCTTGTCCGGTGGCCCACAAATCCTTGGTTTGGATCCATTTTTTTGTATGGTATATTCGTTGGGCTCATTTTTTCGGTTCGTAGTAATTTTTCTCATTTATCCCTTCGGACCCACTTTATTATATCCCACCATAACTTTGGGATTAGTTAGCCCAATGATCGGATTGGGCTTATAATTACTAAACTACCCTCGAACAGTATCAACTGTAGGGTTTTTACCCCTCACCTATTTTTGTTTTCTTCACTTTATTTCTTCTCATTAATCCTTCTTTCCGCAAGCGACACCCAGTGCAAGGTAAATCTCTCTCTCTCTCTCTCTCTCTCTGTATATATATATATCTCAAAGTTCATATGTCGTTTCTCTCTCTATACATCTGTGTATATATATATGTATATCTCTCTTTCTCTTTCTCTCTCTCTCTCTTGCTATCTCTATGTGTGTGTATATATATATATGTGTGTGTGTGTGTGTGTGTGTGTGTGTGTGTGTGTGTGTGTCTATGTATCTTGGTCTATATGTATATATATACAAGATCTACAACCTGTAAACAAACCTCACCAAAGAGAAGGTTCTGGACAGTCTGATTTGTAGAGCAAAGGTTATTCCACATACACTTTCTCTGTTTCTTCGTACAGACCCAAAAACTAAAACACTAGCCTAAGATTATTATTATTTTTTTTAAAATTTTGATCATTTAAAAAAAAATTAAATCTGATTTTTTTTCTCTCAACAAAAAGAGGGATTAATTATGATCATATTAAAAAAAATTATTTAAAAAAAAATGTTTTGATCATAGCCCGCATGCAAGCAAGATGATGTTAATCATAGTTCAAGAATATTCAAGCCATTGACATGCAAATTCTTTTACCCATACAATCAAGAAATGACACCTCTCTCTCTCTCTTTCTCTCTCTGTGGGGGTTGATTTGTTGGATTTTCTTAGTTGCAAAAAATTTTGCTTTGTGACCTCTCCCAAAATTTTTTGCTTTGGGTGAATGGTTTGTTCTATTTTAGTTCTGATTATTGTGCATTTTGCGATTCCCATGTAATGCTTTTGGTTTTACTTCCAGCCAACCTTCAATTTGTAATATTATCTGAGATAAATTTTTTTTTTTAATTCAAAAAAATACCAAAAAAGCAAACATATTTTGTAGTAATATAAAAGAAAAAAAAACTAATTTTATGGCTTCAAGCTCATAAAACAAAATGACGTTTCTAGAATCTTATGAGCAAATTAATTAGATCAAAATTTTTTGGTATTGCAAACATTAAAACCAAATTATTTTCGATTTGTACACTTAGTAACATAAATGAAAATTGGAGTGAAGTTTAAAGGTGGACAAAAAAAATAATATTACTTAACCCAACATAGACTTTGGATTTGATAGTAGTCAAGAGTAAAAATGTAATTTAATGTAAAAGGTAAAAAATTTTACACAAAAAAAAATGATTTTTTTGTGGGCCCCATAAAATACAAAAATACTTCCTAAAATAAGAATTGAATTACACAATTTTATTAGTATCTTATCTATATCTTCCGGACTGAAGATTTTATTGAATTGGTTTAGATTAAAAAACCAAACTAATTCTATCCCCCCACATACTTGTCAAAAACACCCTGAGTGCATCATATATCTCTCTCTCTCTCTCTCACACACACACGCTCGCTTGCTGGTGTCTATGCAATTTGGGATAGGAGGACAATAATTCCTTTGTAATTAGGTGGCAGAGTTGCAATGATGGAGGACTTTGTCGGGTTAGAGGGCATCGGAGTCTCTGCAATTCGGGTTGGAGGGCATCCGATACTCTGACATTTGTGTGATTGAGTTGTCAATTGAGCGGGTTTGTTGGGTGGTGGAGTGGGTTTTTCAGTGGTGGTGATGATGATGCTAGGTGGTGAAATGGATTTCAGTGGTGGTCAGTGACGGAGGGAGGAAGGAGCCTGGCCCACCCTGAAAAAAAAATATTTTTTTTATTTATATATATTTTATATATTTTTTGGATATCCTCAATTGGACCCACCCTACTGATTTAGGAAAAATAAAGCTAATTGGTTCAAACAAGCTAGGTACTAAAACAAAGACTTGAAAAAAAAAAATTTCATATCAAATCTCTTAAAATCAAGAAACTAAAATTATTATTATTTTTTTTTATCAAAAGAGTGTAAAATAACATTCACGTAGGAAAGTGATGATTATAATCGGTAGCAAGCAAAGTCATGAACTTGTTGGGGGGACAGCTGACCCAATTCGCAACAAGCGAATCAATCGTCGTTTCGGCCGCCACTCAATAAGCAGTTCTATTAAGGTCTCTTGGCTTATATAGAAAACTAAAATTATTTGTATGTGTGATGTTTATGTGTTGAGAGAGTATCGATCTGATTTGTTGCAGTCTCTTTTGGTTCAAAAATTATAGAATATACAACCAGGAATGAGTAAAATTTGGAATTTATAAGAAGATTAAAAATTATACAATATTGCTTTTATTTGTGTCAAATAAATTATATAATTAATTCTTGATGTATAGATGTTATTTTATTAATTTTTTTCAAACAGATCTCTTTTATGTTTAATAAATTTTCACTAATACTATTGAGACATAATGGGTTGTCACAAATAAAATGATATTAAAATTTATTTAATAATCGGTCTCATTGTAACATTAAATGAATTCATTATTATTTCATTGGTGAAATACAATATAAAAAATATAAATATATCACATTATTTTTATATATTTGAGGACAAAATAAAACTTGTACTTAAAGTGTGCACCTAGATAATTTTCTTGGCTCCGCCACTAGTGGTGGTGAGGGGTTTGTTGGGGGTTTAGTAGTTGTTTGTTTAGGTGTTCGACTGTGGTGGACTGTTTGGGTGTTCAATAAAGTGGTGGTTTTATTTGCTTAATATGGAGTTGTTTAATAGATGACATCACAAAGAACATTAGAACAAAATCAAAGCATATTTTAGTCATTTTACAAATATTGTTACCTCTATTACGATTTACAGGTTATTTACAAGTAGGAGGGGTTAAGTAGAACTCGTAAAAGTGGTAACGGGTCCCCGACCTTAAGTTCAAAGGAGTCCTACGTAATTTACCTTTTTTTTTTTAGAGCATCTCTAACCTTACTCAAATTTTTAGTCAAATTTAAATTTGAATAAAAGTAGACCAAAAACAAACTCATTCTTTATTCAAATTCGTAGCAATTGAAAGGAGACTAAAATTTATAATTATTTAAATTTTCAATGGTCGTATTTCATTTTCCTTTAAAGATCAAATAATCATAAATTTAGATTTATCCTCGTTTAAATTTGAATTTATATTCTTTAAGCTTAGAGTTTCTTCATTAGAGTATTTTATATCAAATCAAATTTTTTACTTAAATTTACGTCAAAAATAGAGATAATCTTACCCATTACCGTATCAAAAAATATAAATAAACATTTAATATAACAGTGATACAATATCATCACTATAACTTGGTGGCATCATTCAATTTAAAAATAACCAAATAGATACTATAAACCCTACACCTTTGCATGAGATAATTGTCACATTACATTACATGGAGGGATAAATTTCTAATTTATTATTTCTTACTAAATAATGACATCTGATATATGTCACCATTATATTAAATATTATTTTCCAAACAATGACTTATAGGCTAAGGAATATGTATAGCCCTTGATGGACGCATGTCAACCAAAATTTCGTCCTTGTTGCAAATGTCATTTGCATTTGAATTTGCATTTCATTTCCCGAACGCGTATGAAGCAGAGGATACGTTGTTGGGTAAATTATATTTAGACACTCTAAAATTTGTTATTTAATTACTTAAATTTTTCATATTTAATATATTATATTTGGACCTCTGAAATTTATACGCGTGTAACTCAACTCTTATTGCCAATCTCTGTTAAGATAGTCATTATATTTATTTGTTATCAGTTAAAAAAAAATAACATTGAGTGTTTTCTATTTTTATTTATTATTAATTTGCTAACAAACAGTGAAATAACGAAATAAAAAAAAAAGAGGGGGGATGAAGCATAACAATTATTTCAAAAAAAAAAAAAAACCTGATGTACAAGAACTCTAGGACAGATAATTTTTTTCAAAAAAAATTGATGTATCAAATTAACACTAATAATCAAACAAACAACCAATTTATTTTAATAATGACCTAATCAGTATGTTTTAACAAAGTCACAAATAATAAAAAAAAATGTATTATTAAAATCATGATTTATTTTCTTAAAATTCACAAAAAAATTAATTTGTTATTGGAGATTGACGAATTTTTTATGGCTACCTTAATGTAAACTAACGACAGAGGTTGTGTTGCACACGTACAAATTTTAAAGGATTTAAGTGTAATATATAAAGTATTAGAGATTTAAGTAATTAAATGATAAATTTTAGACAACTGAGTGTAATTTACCCATTATTATTACACGGTTACGCCTCTCTTTCTCTCTCTCCTAAGATTCTGTCTAACGTTTCTAGTGCTTTCTTTCTTTGCCTAGAAAAAAAGTGACTGAAGCCCAACTTGCTCTCCACACTCCTCTCTGTCTGTGCATAGTTAAAGCGGCATCAAAAGGACGCCGAGTCTTAGCCTGTTCGATCTTAAAGGTAAGCTTGGCAAAATTTCAGAATGAATTGTACTTTCAAAGTCTATCACACTTGATTTTCAGTTGAGTATCTTCAATTGTATCATATAATCAGCTAGGTTCATTATAATTTATTTTTTTTGGTGGATTGTATGTCTTAGTTTTGTGGGTTGTGTTTTGAATTTAGTGTTCTTGTATGGGGAAGGAATTGGGTCCGATGCATTTTGATATTGAATTGGGACTGAACTTTGATCAGTTCATTGAGCTTCTATGGTTCCGATTAAGTTTTTTATGATTTTTTTTTTTTATTTTTTATCACAGGTTTGTTATGAGTTTACTCACAGTAATGGTGCTACTTGAAGATCTTCGTGCACATATATATTTTTATTTCAGTATTAAAAAAAGTTTTTTCCTAGTTTTTTTTTTGGGGGGGGGGGGGGGGGCGGGGTTCCTAAGAAGTGGGCGTCACGATTTGAATCCCATTAACTATAGCGTTACAATTGAAAAAATATATAACATATAAACTTACTTGAAATTGTAAAAAGATAAATTGATGTTTTAGGAAGATTGTGTCTTAGGAAATTAATTTGAATCCCATCAATTATGGTTTACGATCGAAAAAATATATGATATATAAGCTTAATTGGAATGATAGAAAGACTAGCAATAACTCTGTGTCTGAAGACACTATGTAATATCAAAAATTGAACTGACCTTGTAATATTTGTATTTTAAATAATAATTTATTTTTTTTAATTATGCAGTTTATAATTAAAATGAAGAGAGAGATATGTGTGGATTGATATGATTACTTGACATTGGTGAATATGTTGATTGAGTTGTCTGACATTGAGGTCATGGAGAAAAGTTGATGTTTTTGGATGTAGAAAAAAAATTTGGGATGAATTTTGTACCATTGGATCAAAGTAAATAAAGATTAAATCAATCTCGTTATTGAGCTTTTATAAGTAAAATATTCAACTTCCTACCAGTAATATTGGATAGCTATGTTGATGTTTTAGGAAGATGTGTCTTAGGAAATGTTTTTGAGGAAAACATTAAACAAGCACCACGAAGATTACGTCAGTTTTAATTTTTTATGCTGGTGAGATTATGTTATGGAAAGACTTTATGTGCTGCATTTCCTGTGGAATTTTATGTATTATAGTGTGAAAGCCTAGCATGTTTACATAATACCTATGTAGTTAGGGAAATGATTATGCTTACTGCATAATGATAACATTGGACCAACAAATTATTGAGAGGTGATGGATATATGGACGATCATTCTAGAATAGCTGATATCTTTTAGAAAGCTTGTTTCTAAGCTATAGATAGTGTCATGTAATTTTTGATTTAATTTTTTTTTGAACGGATTTTTGTTTTAATTAAATGATCCATTTTGGGCAGTTTGAGTAGTTGATGAACTTGTCCACTTTAAGATGGCTTGGTTTGAACTAGAAGTTTTTTTTTTTGGAAAAAAGTGCCTGTTGGTCATGTATATACTTCTCCTGCCTTGCTATGTTGATAGTTTCTTGTTTCACTTGGTTTTGCTCTATTTTGCTTATGAATTGCACAAGAGTAGCCTCGTTCTATGCATCAAGGTGCACAACGAGACAGGTTGGCTTCTTGTAATTATGGATAAAATACACCGGCGGCTGCTGAATTTAGTCCCTATTTCGATTAAACCCTTAAACAATGTTTTGTCAAATTTTCCCCTTAACTTTCAACATTGGTTTAATGTGGCCCTTCCGCTTGATCCATCTAGTTCATTAGGGGAACTGTACGTGGCTTCAATGTGGCACACAATTGTAGGGAATTTTTGGCAGATAAAATTGTCGGACAAATAACGGTGATGTTAGTCACTGACTCACTATATGCTAACAATTGTAACTAACAATTGTAAAGGTTAGGTCTATATTCACTATCTAGTTCACCCCTCAAAGCACCCTCAATTAATGACAACGCAAATGGGTGATGACCCTTTTTGTTGATGCCAAATGTATTACACGAGTTGATTTTTATGCCTGTCTTATTGACATGTTTTAATTGTTTATCTTCTTATAAAAATTGTCTTTGTTTGAACTGTGAAGCAATTAGTTCACACATTGTTTTATATGAAACTTTAATTAGACATGTTCCTTTGTAAATAATATGATTTTGCTATGGCAAGACGACATTTGTTCCTATAGTATCACTATCTAAAATAACGAGGGATTTTGAAGTTTATGGTAAGCGTTAGGCTTTTGTTTTTTGCTGAGAACTTGTGGAAATTCAGATGATCTAACAAGATATGGAAAGCAAAACTTTAAAACATTACTTTAAACATAATAGGTATGAGGCAAGACTAGATGGATCATTGATATAGCAATGGTCTTTTACTCCCCACAGTGAAGGAGTACCTAGTCTGACCTTATATGTTGGAACAATACGATTTTCTACTTACTACAGTCCCCTTCTTTTTGATATTTCGTTTGCAGTAATTTTAGTTTGTTTTCATACAGACTACTATACGATGGCTGATGGAGAGGATATTCAACCACTTGTAGTGGACAATGGAACTGGAATGGTCAAGGTTAGTCATTGCAATTGAGCTTGCAAGTTTAGCGTCCTCTCTTCCTGATAATTACAGCAATCATTCCTAGTCCACTTAATTTCTTATGCTAACTTCTTTATCTTATAGGCTGGCTTTGCGGGTGATGATGCTCCTAGGGCAGTATTTCCTAGTATAGTTGGCCGGCCTCGGCACACAGGTGTCATGGTTGGGATGGGCCAGAAAGATGCTTATGTTGGAGACGAGGCCCAATCCAAGAGAGGTATCCTGACCTTGAAGTACCCCATTGAGCATGGTATAGTCAGCAACTGGGATGACATGGAGAAAATTTGGCATCACACATTCTACAATGAGCTTCGTGTTGCTCCAGAGGAGCATCCAGTGCTTCTCACAGAGGCACCCCTCAACCCCAAGGCAAACAGAGAAAAGATGACTCAAATTATGTTTGAAACTTTCAATGTGCCAGCCATGTATGTTGCCATCCAGGCCGTTCTTTCTCTCTATGCCAGTGGTCGTACAACTGGTTCGTATCACATCAATCACTCAGTATATTTGACTTTTTTCTGCCTTATGCACTTGATTATTGAATCAGTATTGTGTCTGAATAGGTATAGTGCTTGATTCTGGTGATGGTGTGAGCCACACGGTTCCAATTTATGAGGGTTATGCTCTTCCACATGCCATCCTTCGTCTGGATCTTGCTGGTCGAGATCTCACAGATAACCTTATGAAGATTCTCACTGAGAGAGGCTACATGTTCACCACAACTGCAGAACGGGAAATTGTTCGTGATATGAAGGAGAAGCTTGCTTATGTTGCTCTGGATTTCGAACAGGAGTTGGAGACTGCAAAGAACAGCTCGTCAATTGAGAAGAGCTATGAGCTGCCTGACGGACAAGTCATCACTATTGGAGCTGAGAGGTTCCGTTGTCCAGAGGTCCTCTTCCAGCCATCATTGATTGGAATGGAAGCTGCAGGAATACATGAGACGACCTACAACTCGATCATGAAGTGTGATGTAGATATCAGGAAGGATTTATATGGCAACATTGTGCTCAGTGGTGGCTCAACAATGTTCCCTGGTATTGCTGATCGTATGAGTAAGGAAATCACAGCTCTTGCTCCAAGCAGCATGAAGATAAAGGTCGTGGCACCGCCAGAGAGAAAGTACAGCGTCTGGATTGGAGGGTCCATCCTAGCATCGCTCAGTACCTTCCAACAGGTGATTTTTTTGTCTTTTTTGATCCCTTCTTTCCTCCCTTCCACTTTTTAAAGTCGCATTCAATGCTTGACTGACCTTCTATGTACTTTTCAATGTTCCAGATGTGGATCTCAAAGGCTGAGTACGACGAATCGGGGCCTGCAATTGTTCACAGGAAGTGCTTCTGAGTTTGTTTGGTGGGTACATCTTGTTTTGCTGTTGGTTATATGCTTCGTTTGCTGCTAATTTTTTGGTTTTAAGAGGAAAAGAGGGAGGGGGATGGGTGTGCCTTGGTTTTTTCAAGGGGAAAAGGAGTCCCATCTTTAGTTTTCGATGCTTTGAAATAGACTTTAATAAAATGATGCATCAAACTTCTCGTCAAGTGGATTGTTCCTTCTAGTTGAATAGCTGCTTTTAAAAAAATTATCGTATTTGCAATCTTTACTTATTTTGCAATGATTTAATCATTGGAAGTGGTGAAACATGTTTCTAGAACGGCTAATGTTTCCTTTTTGCTTCATTTCAGGGTTAGGGCATTTCTGCTCTGGTCATATGCCTTGTATAATAAGAAGTTTGGGCTGCAGTGTGGCTGCGGGCTTGAATTAGAATAAGAAAAATCAAAAAAAAAGATTTTGTAAGGTCTTTTTCCTCCTCCTATCATTTGTACTATCTATATGTGTTTTTACATGCGAGTAGCTTTGCATGGTTATGCTCTGTATTCTATTTGGGTGAAGCATTGGACTGTTACATAGCTTGGTAAACTGGTTTAAAAATGGAATATATTATGGTCTTTGATGCGTTTATTGAAATGAGATTCTTACAGAGCAACGATGCCCTACACCAACGACTCCATAACAGAATGAACTGAGACAGTATTTGTTTTTGAGATATACTTGTACAAATTAGGTTATGATTTATTAGATCCTTGTATTATATCTTGAATTTAATGAAATAAGATGAACTAAGACGGTATTTGGTACAAGAGATCTCCCCTAAATCATTAGTATGACTATTGCAATTGTGAGAATCAGTGTATAAGTTTTCAAATCCATCTGGTGTCTGTTTGTTCTCAAGTGAGAAGATTGATTTTTGGAAAAAAGGCCTCACTCTTCGTCGCCTTTCCTTAATAACGAGATCGGTGTTCTTCTCAAAGAAACGACTGATTAATGTAGCCAATTATTATAAATGATTTAAGAGATCTATAATATAAAACAGGGTAAGTTTCAATAAGTTTATTTAACGGTCTCAAATTAATTCATCCAACGGCTATCAATATTTATCTTATAATTATTCACATTGAATATTTTTTCTCCTTAAATTTATTACTTCTCATTTACGTTACACCGTACTTTCAAATACAGGTTATTTGTAGTGTGTTTATATGCCCAGGATAAGGCTCGGTACCGCGAATTTACATTGCAAAAATTGATCAAGAACTATTGATTTTGGTTTGAATTGTTTGCAACCGTTGTTTTGAGAAATGAACTGATAAAAATTTATTTTAATAAATTTTTCTCTTACATGTGACATGTTTTCATTAGATAAAAAGTAAAAGTACTATACAGAAAAGTAGATTTTGGCACTGTAATCAGACCCATATGTCTAAGTGAGGTTTTTTTTTTTCAGTGTATAAAATAGATATGCAGTCATTTTAGGTTGCATTGTTCGTCAAGATCATACAAATTATTTACAGAAGATCCCATAGCATTTACGTCGGAGGGCGAAGTTAAGATCTTACTGCGTGCTCTTGGTGTTTAAAAGCATATTTAGTCTCATCAAGCTGTTGGCAGTTGTGGAGATTTAAATTTAAGCATCGAGTAAGAAAATCGAAGTTTTTACTTATTGAACCAACTGTTGGGTGGTGTCTAAGTGAGTTTTCAGGAACCTGGTCGAGTATTAGTAAAGACCAATGCTCTGATTACATTGTGGGAAGGGGGCCAAAAAACTTCTTTGTGCACTATAAATATTTTTTAGTGGTGAAAAAAGTAACTTTTCACTTTTAAGTCAGCAGAAATAATGTTCGTAGCAATACCCTATTTCCCCTTTATTCGGGGACTTCAACGGGCCGTACAAATTCATAAAATTGGCAATTCTTCGCATTTTGAATAGAACAATGACTAATCACCGTCGTTTTTATACGTTCAAGGATCAAAATATTATTTTAGTGTATTATTTCGGTCACTTAAAAAACGAAAACGTTTCGACGTGTTTCGAAAATATTTCGACTCGTTTCAGAAATATAATAAAAAAAATTTAAAATTTAAGAATTATTTTTCTAAAACATTGATAGAAATATATTAAAGTATCTTAAAATACCTTGAAATATTTTAAAATAATTGTACAAATGCATTGAAATATTATAATATATTTAAAAACATTATGGAATACCTTGAAATATCGTAATTTTAATTCCGTTATTGTTTCGTTTCTGTCTCATTGAAAACAAAAACGTTTAAGACGTTTCGACCGTTTCGAAACAATATTTTGATCCTTGTATATGACGAAGCCCTTCATCGGGTTATTTATTTTTTCTACCTTCTTTCTCACCTGAACACTTTTGTTTGGAGCTTTTACCCCTACCCGTGGCTTTTTTGAAACTTATATCCAAAAGAGGGTAGTTTTCAAACGATTTTTTGAACTCAAGTAATTTTAAAAACGTCAATTAAAATGACTTTTTTTACTTGCATTGGGATATATGGTGGCCATATAAAACGTTACTTAGAATAACGTTTGTATGATAAAAACATCAGTCTAAGTGACGTTTTCATATGAAACATCAGTGCAAAGCACGTTTTAGTGAAAACGTTGGTTCAAATAATGTTTCTAAAAAACATCATTTGCACTGACGTTTTTCAGTAAAACATCATTTGCACCAACGTTTTGTATACCCTCTGATTTTTTTTATTCATCACATTGTTATTTTTTTCAATGTTTAATTTTATTTATTGAATAATTATATTCTTGTTCAAAAAAAAATAATTATATTCAAAATAAATATATTTTGATCATTTCAAAATTAAAACATTGAAACGTATACATTTAATTAATTTTATTTAACATTCAAAAATAAAATTTTATTTTTAATTTTGATCATGTCGACAATAATGTTTATAAAAACAAAGCAATGTAAAAATATAATTTATTTATAACCAAAAAAGTGAGCATTTATTTCATAACACTTTCTAGTGCAATTGATGGGGTAAAAGGGTGTCAATAACGTGATTAATATTCAAAATAATATAAAGGATTACCGAGTACATACAAACTTGATGGCATAAAGTGTCTAACACATCATCGTCTAAGTTAGAGAAATCAGAAAGTTTAGGATCAGAAATAAGTAACGAATCTTTTAAAATTTCAATTTCGACATATTCAGGATCAAAATGCTCTATTTTTGCATACTTGATTGCATGTAAACAATCAAATCGACGTTGCATTTGATTATTTTCACGTTTAAGCATTAATATGATCTCGTCATAATTGTTTGAATTTTGTGGATCATAAATATCAGTCGAACATGCATTTGGTACCGCAAAGTCCATGTCAATGACAAAATACTTCAACGTCGCAATGTTTGTCATATAATTGTCGTCATCGTAGTGTAGGTTCAATATGAGCACCTGAAGGCGGATAGTCAATTGCAGGCCCAAGAATTACATATTCAGCTTGACCAAATGGGTGATAAGGGTCGATGAGTTCGTTGCAGAACTCACGTTTTCATCCATACCACTTTACACCACTGGAATTTGTATGTGATCTAATAGAAGGAACTATGTTCAATGATGTTGATCTATCGGTTGAGCGTTCACATTTGTAAGTCGAAGATGAACTATTTTGTTCATTGCTTGAAGAAGAACCTTCATTGGTTTGGCTATATATTTGTTTCATATCATTTACACAATTGTGAATGCTAGTATATATAGGTTCGGTTTGGAAAACTAAAATAACAGTTAAATGACATCACACTGCATAGTTGGGAACTGATTTGACAATGACAGGATGTGACAATAAAAAATTGTAATATGACAAAACATTGAATAGACTAATAAAGCTATGGGATTGCTTAACATTAAATAGGACATACACGTAAATGTTATACGCACAATCAGTTGGACACTGATTACATTTGTTAATCTTCATCAGACATAAAGTCATTTGATAAGTATTCTTCATTAAACAATACAGTAGATCGCTCAGTAGTTGTCAACTCCCTTCCAAATGCAGTGGCCACCAAGTCAGTTGCTAATTGGAGCATATAATGTCGACACTTACACACCATCATCCTAATTGTCTCCTTTCATACACGTTTAACTACTGCTTCGTAGTCCACTCTATTCCTTCGTGACAAGGTAAGTGAAATTCTATGTGGTATCGGTATACCAAGTTCTCTTAGATCTGTGCATAATGAGTGTGATTCATTAGCACGGAAAACCCACTCTCGTCGGAGTCCAGCATAATACTCTTTTTGGATCAAAAAGTCTCTCACTTTTGTAATCATCATTTCGCTCTTATAACAACCAAACTCGTTGATGTCTACGATTATTATCAATGGTAAATGGTCTTGATGTAAACATAATTTGCAATACATGCGATATAAACCACCCCTTATTATGTTTTTATAGTGGTTTCATTGTGTTAAATGCAGCAGTGTGTAGTCATTTATTTTATTGGATAAGCACAGTTGTCATCAATGCAATATTGTGTAGTCACCTTTTTATTTGAGTTAATGGTCAAACATTAAAATAAAAGTACAGTCAGTGTGACTACACACTGAGACATCTCATTCATTGAAGTTACTAGACCCTGATTCACGTCTATGAAACATTCAACAACATCAGGGTTTTTGGTATTGAACTAGTGTGCAGTCACAGGATTTTGATTGTGACTACACATCGGTGCATTGAATTGCAATGCAATGTGTTGTCAATTTATTGGTTTGTCTTTATTTCTAACAGTGTTGAGGCACTTCATTCATGTGGTTTGTTGAACAATAAATAGGTACAACATGACAACTGCATCAATGTTATTCATTGTGACTACACATTGGTTCAATGTCAATCATTGTGGCTACACAATGGTTTAATGTCATTTATTGAGGCTGTAGACTAGTGTACTTATATCTATAATGCTTATAAGTTTGAACGCATGTGCAATGTTCAATATACACACTTGACCTCTAACCAATAATTATAGTTAGAGAACAGTGTTTGAAACTCTGGGTTATCATTGGACATTAGAGGATGAGTTCTTTTATTCAATGAATCATCGTTTACGCTATACACGAATGGCTAGAAACACAATGATGGCGAAATGACAATATCGTTTAACAAAAAGAGATAATCTAAGCTTAAATTTATGTTCTTGCAACATAAGAAGACCTCAACAAGTTGCCATTGGTATGTCTATTACTACTCCTCAAGAATTAGAGCAAGCATTGTTTCGTATTCAAACTGAGAACAATCAAATAGCAATCTGTTGCAATAAGTACAACCTTCATCGCATCGCAAAAGACCGTACTACAGAAGGGAGGATACAAGAAGCAATTTTAAGCTTCCAATTGAGTGGGGAAGCTGAATGTATTTCTAATGTGGAGATGTCTGACGAAGATGAAGACCTATGAAGAAGTGTTATGCAACTCTTGTGTTGGAACATTTAGACATTATTGTCAATTTTGTGTTTCCAATATATTTCTTTATTATGTTTATATGAAATATGGTGTATTTCTCTAATTAGTGTGGTCCATATGTATTCGATAAATTGTGTTAAAGTTGGTTAAAAAATGTTGCATAGAGTATTTGATAACTAATTTGAAATGTAGCAATGGAATAACACTATATCAAAACTATGAACCCAAAGAGTTTTTATATACAACACTAATTAACACAATTTATATACAACATAGATAAAAAAAAATGGACTACGTCTCATAAAGTGATGGTTTCCTCTATCACTTGGGCTGATATCCATTAG